CTGTTGAAGGGTATGCATCCAAATATAATACCACTTGTGCGTGCCTAGTAAAAGTATCAAAAAAAAAAAAATGATTTCGACCATTTCGACCATTTCAGATATCCGAAATGATCTATTTCGACTTCATGTATAGCCTGATTGCTTCATTTATTCTTTTAGGGCCAGGCCCAGCATTTTTTTGCGCAAGTAGCATAATAGTATATTCAAGAAACTATAAAAATTTTATATAATTTTGGACGAATACACTTGCTGGTAAAATACTGGGTCAGTGGTGGTACCCAAAAATAATCAATACAGTAATAATCCAAAGTAATTATACATAGGGATACCCAAAATAGCAACTATATGAGAAAGAAATCTAGGAAAGCTTGAGCGAAAACTAGGGTATAAATTTAGTAGTATCCAAAGGTAGAATAATATATAGGAAAGAAAATAAGAAATTATGCTTTTGGATACTACTGTCAATAAGCAGGAAAGAGTTCAGGAAGGCAGAAAGCTTTAGGAGAATACAAGAAAAAAGGTATGAAAACTGTATAGTCAGAACTAATTCGGCATTTCATGCCTTATCCTTAGCAATCAAAAGGGTTATAAAAGGCGGGATTGCAAGAATAGCATAACACCAGCACTTCGCATATACCTCACTTGGCAATCAAGAGATGGCAAATAGATTGTGATATATCTTAGGCAAATGATAAGAATGCAAGTTTAGCATTTCGTGTCTCACCCAGCATTCAAGAAATGGCAATTTGAGAGGGAAAATATATGGATTGCAAGTTCAGTACTTCATGTCTCAACTCAGCAATCAAATGGGAACATAAAAGTTGGATTGCAAGTAAGTTCAGCACTAATTTCTGGTAATTACATAGGCTGATCTTGATACTTCAGATTCTTCAACCATCTGATCTTCTAGACAGAACTTTGAAAGTAACGGGAATGTGATGAGAAAGTGATAGGAAGGTTCTGGGAACGTATCTTGCATAATGATTTTTTTGCGCAGTAAATTAACAATAATTTCAGCCAAAACTTTGGATAATAACTCAATATCCAAGTTGGCATAAAATACATGAAACAAGCGAACCTTGCCAGTTCCATAATAGTTCTCTACCAGTTTCACAATAGTTCTATGATACTATTACGACACTACCATAGCGTTGAGTTAGATCCTCGAATCACATGCCCAAAAGATCAGCTGAAATTATGGCATAGTGTTGGCCAAATTAAATGCGAATTTACTGCGCCACCCGATACCTTTTTTTTACCCCCACTTCTTAATAAGCAATCAAAGAGGCCCAAAACATGTAAACAAATAGATAGCTCTTTATTAATAAAATAGCTACAGAACATTAAAATCAAGCGAATAGCTAGAAGGCAATAAAAAGGAGGCAGAGCAATAAAATCAAGCAAATATTTACAAAGTAATAAAAGGTCATAGAGTAATCAAAACAAACGGATATCAACTTGATAATAAAAAGGCTACAGAACACTAAAAACAGTAACTAGGTAACAGTATACTCATAACTTGATAACATTATAACGGAACTGGATAACATTCTTATAAGAGTGTTATCCAGTAATAATATATATATGTATTATAGATTAATTTATATTTGAAATGTAAATTATAATAAAATTATTATTTAGTTTCTTAAGATTTGTAAAAATTTAAATTATTTTAAATACGGTAAATTAGATTCTGATTTAGAAATTATTAATAAAGATAATATTAATAATTGTCATAAAAATTTGAATTAGGGTTTTATTTATTTTAATTTATTTAAAATCTCTTATGACTCTTATGAGTTGCTTATTTAAACAATTTTTGACTCAGATTTATAATGCATCAAATGTAGTTATAAATATATACGTAAAGTTACTTTGTTTCATCTCTCTTTATTTTTCAATATTTCAAAAAATGACAACTCCAAGTTTGGCTTATACTGGACCCTAGTTTCATTAAAAGAAGTTGAAAATGTGGGTAATTTCCCTCATGGAGTTACATGAGAACTTGTTAATCCTAAAATGAGGATTCGAATGTTAAGAATTCATTTCTCAAGGATATTCTATAGTTTGTCATTGTCCCATTTGGTAAGCTTTACAACATCAACATAAACGCGTTTAAATGACCAACATTGCTTATCATGTGCCTTTGTTAACTTTGTAATAAGTAATAATTTATCACGTGACGCTTGCCTTTTTTCTTAGAAATAAGATACAGAAATCAAAAATGTCCATCAAGAACAAAGTTTGAACATCTTTTCGCAAATTTAAAATCCAGTGATGATGAGTTAACGTCAATTGAAAGAATTCACATTAGAACGTGCGTTTGAATGGTAATGATTTCAAATTTAAGAATCATCATTTAGAGTTAGAATACGTAGTGCATCAAGAAGACACAAAATCTGCCAACTACATCAGGGGAACTACACCAGGGGTAATAAAATGATTCAATGTTAAGAAAATTGTATATGTATGTGAAGGCAAGTACTGCATTATTAACGGAACGTCTGTACCGTATGGCGATGCATTTTTGGGTTAGATGATAATTCATAGGCAAGCAATCTATCAATACAAAAAAAAAAGATGGAAAAAATTCTCTCAATGCCAAAGAAAACGCGAAAAATATGCATTGCAATGACTTTTTTATCTTGTTTACTTACGACTGGCAAAATTAGTTGTTGCTTCAAATCACCAAAAAAAGTTCCGCATCAAATAAGGCAAATATTTTGGAAATTATGCCGGCAGGGCACATGCCTAAGTTGATTTGGGCTCTTTAGACATTAACACTGTCAAGTCGCAGAAATCTCCTGTTAGTGTATGGAATTGTAGTAGATGAGCAGATGATATCATTGATAAGAGGAAATTTAAAAGACATCGAAGATGCGAAAAAGGAGACAGTTTTGAACATAGTGTGGGACAGTCTCGGACATAGAAAATGCACATCACTGCCGGAAAAGGTGTTAAAGATTTCAGACTGATCATTTATTCTCTTCTTTTTACAAAACAAAAAATATACTTTAGACACTCTTGGTCGTTTCACTGAGACTCCAGGTGCAAAAGAAATCTTTGATACAGGATGGGATGTATTTATATGCAATTCTTTTACATGAGGCCAAAATGTTTGCTAATGAGGAAATTATGCATATTATTTTTTAATATAATTGTAAATACCAATTGTTATAGCTACGAGGAATCACATAGATTTATTTATTTCTCTCTAAAAACTTTCTGTCTCATATAAAAACCTTTTTATAATCACGCCTAAATTAAAACCAATTAAGATCAAATTCATAAAGTATCACAATAGTAAAAGAAAAAATTACTACCAAAATTAAGATATCCCAAATCGTTCTTCCGATCCTAATAGCCAATCACATGAAAATCACTAATATATTTTTAATTCAACTGCACGCATTTGGTTCGGTAAAAACTATAGAACGGCACGTGCCAGTGGTGCTACAATTATATAAGGCGCAAAGTTTGAATTTTCAATTCAAATCTCACATCTTCCAAAAAATCCACGTTAAATATATATATATATATATACTTTTAATTTTATAGTTTAGGTGTTTCAATCCGTTCTTTTTATAATTTTTTTTTTGAAATTGTAAAGATCAATGCTTATTTTAACGCGTTGATGTGAAAATAAAGAACATAATCTGAAATACTGAAAAATAAAACCCGATTTTTTCTTAAATTTCAATGCTCAAAATTTTGAGGTTTAGAGTATCATATAGATTCCTTCATACTATCACAATATTTGCCTCTACTCTTCATTCATTACACGGTCTTCCAGCAACAGACGTTTTTTCAATATCGAATGAAAATAAAAAATATGGAACAGGTTCATTATTTGATTTACCAAGTGCGCCAATTGGTGATAATGATAATATAGAATTTGGGTGGAAATTAGGTGTAATTGTAACGTTGGTATTATTAGGTGGAATCTTCGCTGGTAAGTTTGGCTTGTACATCAACAGTTATTGATTTCAAATATGAATTCTCCTAGTTGTCAATAGTTCTTAAATTTCTTTGATCTTCAAAGGTCTTACAATTGGACTTATGGGTTTGGATGAGACCAATTTACAAGTATTGATGGTAGCAGGGGAATCTAATGAAAGAAGACACGCTAAAAAAGTATTGGACCTTTTACAAAAAGGAAAGCATTGGGTGTTAGTTACTCTATTGCTTTCAAACGTTATTGTCAATGAAACTTTGCCGATCATTTTTGATTCTGTATTTGGTGGCGGATGGCCTGCCGTGTTGATTTCTACTGCGCTGATTGTTATGTTTGGAGAGTATGTGTGAAAATTTGTTTGTAAATAATATATTATGATTTAAAATTAATTTTGATTTATATGGGTTATTTATATATGAAATAACAGAATTATCCCACAAGGTAATTGATTTTATTTTCTTCCTATTATTGTTGTTACTATTATTTCTCTCTTTTTTTTTTTTTTTTTTTTAAAAAAAAGAAGTCTTCTTCTTTAATAATAGCTATATGCGTGCGTCATGGATTAGCAATTGGGGCTGATTTTTCGTGGTATATATATTTAAAATTTTAAAAATATCTACAATATTATTATACATTTTCAATTAATATTATAATAAAAAATTAGGTTCGTCTTATTTTTGATGTATGTCTTGTTCCCAGTAGCATATCCTATTGCTGGTATCTTGGACTTTTGTCTTGGCGAGCAACATGGAACTATGTATCGGAAGTCAGGTATGAATTTAATATGATGAACTACTATATTTGAGGGATCATTTACTATTATACTTAAATAAAATTAAAATATTGTTGTTTCAAAATCATCAAGAATTAAAAACTTTTGTATCTCTACATAAAAATGGAGGAATTGAAAGTTTAAATGAAGACGAAGTTCAAATTATTGGTGCTGTATTGGATCTTCGTGAAAAACCTGTATCAGCAATAATGACACCTCTTGAAGATGCTTTTACATTAAGCGCGGATAAAGTTTTGGACGAACAAACTGTTGATGAGGTGTTAATTTTTTTCTCTTTTATCCTTTATTAACACTTAGTTTCAAATATTGATATAAAATTTACTTATCACAGATTCTTTCGCGAGGTTATTCTCGAATTCCTGTATATGAACCACCTAATCCAACCAATTTTATAGGCATGCTTCTCGTAAAAAAATTGATTACTTATGACCCTGAAGATGCTTGGTCGGTCAGAGATTTTTCACTGAGTTCATTACCTGAAACTAATCCATTTACTAGCTGTTTAGACATTTTGAAATTTTTCCAAGAAGGCAGAAGTAAGTTAGATAAAGCAAGTTTTTGAATATTTTAGGAAAATTTTTATATTTAATTGTTTTTTTTTTCGATTATAGGTCATATGGCACTTGTCTCGGAAGATCCAGGTGGTAATGAAGGTGGTGCACTTGGTGTTGTAACACTTGAAGATGTTATTGAAGAATTAATTGGAGAGGAAATAATTGATGAGACAGATGTTTATGTAGACAGTAATTTATTCACGATTTTTTTTAAAAATTTTTTTTTTTAAAAAAAAACGCCTGGAGCAAATTCTAACAAAATCTTTATATTCATCGACAGTACGTAATAAGATTAAAGTTGTGCGCCGCCCGCCGCGTCAAATACGACCTAGATTATATTATTCATTCCTTTCAAAACGTAGTAATAATCGTAATAGGTCAGCATTTCCGATAACAACTTCAAAAAATGATATCACGCGTGCAACAAATAAAAATCTTCACCCTCATAATAAAGGAAAAAATAACAATGATAATATCAACAACACTAATTCTAATAATACTATAGATACAAGTAATTCAAAAAATGTTCAAAATGCCGATGATATTCGCTATCATGATGATACAGATGATGAAATTGATGAATCAGCAGAATCAACAAAACCTCTTATAAAAACAAATTATCATTCTACGGATGGTGATCATGAATTGGTTGGATTGACAAATGGTATTAAGACTCATCAAAAAGAACCCTAAGGAAAAAAAACGTTTTTAGAATAGCTCAACTTATGAAATTGTTGATATTAAATAATTTTTTCTTTAGCTTGTTCTTAAATAAATTTGTAATTCATTTATTTATTAAAAAACTGATGAATTGATATACAAACCAAGTACATGATATATATATATATATTTATACATTGTATTTTATTTATGAAATTAACGAGATTTTTTTAAAACCATAAATTTTATAATCTGGTAATCTTTAAATTATGGCGATGGTTTTTTATCACAATTTTTTGCCGGTGTTATAAATGATTTAATTTAACCTTATATAATATACAGTATATAGAATGATTGTTAGAAAAAAAACTATTATATTATTTAAATTAAATTTTAACTTTGTTAAAAACCTTTCAGATATTATTTTCTTAATAAATCATTACATAAATTTCATATATTGAAAATTTTAGAACCTAAATGACAAATAATTTAAAATAATTATACTAATCATTTACTGCAATTATTCAATCAAAAAGTTGATTTAAAAAATCACAATTTAGTTTAATTAAAATATTAAAAAATTAATGCTAGCTAACATTAAAATCATTAATTAAATAAAAATTAATGATTCTAATCATTATAATTTTATGTTTCATTATATGGGAACGTTTCCAGTAAAATCAAGTTATGAGGCATAGTAAATCATATGATCCGTAATGTGATTTTACTGGAAACGCTCCCATATTATTATCCAAAAAATAAAATTGTATTTTTTAATAAAAGAATTAAATTATTATATTAAATTATTATTATTATTTTTTTATTAAAATTGCTAAATAAATTAAATAATTATTATGGTATTATAATAATAAAAATATTAAAATAGTATTAGAAAATAAACATATTCTTTCCTTTACACTTTCATGTAATATATATTATTATTATAAATTTTGATTGACAAACTACCTTTTACAAAGCATAACAAACATGATTATATTACCATATCAATCATTTTGTCGATCATATTAACTAAATTATTACATTATATAAAATCAGCTGATTTAGACTTTAAAGCTTCAGGCAATACTAAATATGCTTAGACAAACTCTACAAATACATAATTTGATATTTTAGGTTATGCAGAATATGATTTTAAAACAGTAAATCAAAGATTAAATGTTATGTATGAGTTAGTTTTAAGCTGAAATAATTAACTATATAATTTATATACAGTAATAAATTTATTATTTTAAACTTTAAAAATTGAAACAATTTTATACATGCTTGTGTAAACTATACTAATTTTTATATTTAATATTTTAGCTTATAGAGAATATAATTTAAAAATTTCACATTAAAATTTTAAAGAATACAAAAGTTAACCTTGAATAATTATATATAAATTATATAGTATTTATTAATATTAATTATTTAGGTTTAAATTTTAGGCAAAGCTATATATGCTTATATAAAACTATACCTAACATTTTATTTAATATTTTAGGTTATGAAGAATATAAAATAAAAGTTTCACAATTAAATTTAAACAATACAAAAGTTAGTTTTGAACTAAAATATTTAATTATTTTAATTAGAGCTAAATAATAAATTGATTTTGTTATTTTTTTTATGTTATTACAATTAGTTTTCTCTAGTAAAAATTACCTAATATTAATTTGATTTTAATAAAAATTGATATTATAATTTAATATAATAACATTTAGCTATATATAAATTTTTAATATATATTATTATATACAATTTTCAATTAGAACTAATAAAACATCAATTTTATAATATTTATTATATGTGATAAAAATGAAAAATGATTAGCAAATGATCAGCAAAATGATCAGCATAATGTAAGCATGTTTACTATGCTATTTTAAAACTAATATATATTATAACATTAGTTTTTTTGAATAACAAATTTTTTTATCTTTTCTAAATTCTCTCAAATATTATATTCTTTATAAAATAATTATAATTAACTTTAAAGGTAAACTATTATAAAATCTTTATAAATTTTAATGATTTAAATTAACTACTATTTGTTATATTTAGATGAATAAAATTTATAATTTTAATTATATTATATTTGATAAAAATTATAACAAAAATAATATAAATAAAGTTAATAATATTAATAATAAATCTGATAGATCTGATAGTTTATTAAAAATATATATTTTGAATAATAATTTATAATATTTGAGATTTTTGAAAAAATATTTTAAATAATATGCAATTTTAAAATAGGAATAGTAAGATGTAAAAAAAAAAAATAATATATGAATCAGAAAATATATTAATAAATATTTTATAAAAATAAATATGGTAAGTATAAGTCTAAAAAATAAATCTATATATACAGTCAAACCTTGATATAGCGAACCCTTGATATAGCGAATTTTTAAATCAAATATATTAAAATTACCT